TAGCTGATATTTGGTCGTTCGTCCTGACACGTGCTGTTGGTGAACTGTATAATGTTTGTAGCCAGTTTATGAAGAAGTTCCCAAACCCAAATTTATGTAAAGTTGCAAATAAGAACTTCCAGTTAACTCTATCAAAAGCTTTTTCTTCATCTAGAGATAATATACTAGTTTCTATGTTTCTACTGTAAGAGAAATCTATCAAATTAAGTAATCTACGTGAGTTTGTGGATGACTGTCTACCCTTAATGAAACCAGTTTGGTCAGGGTGTATTATGAAGGGGGTTACCTTCTCTAATCTTTTGGCCAGGGCTTTACAAATTATTTTGAGATCAACATTAATAAGAGAAATTGGGCGATAGCTGGTAGGAAATGCCGGGTCTTTGCCTGGTTTTAACAAGAGACTAATATTGGCTGAATTCATGTTTGGCTGTAATCTGCCGCTCTCTTCGATTTCCCTCACCATTCTGAAAAATGTTGGAGCCAGAATGATCCAGAATTCTTTGTAGAATTCTACTGGGAACCCGTCTGGACCTGGAGCTTTCCTATTAGTCATGGATTTAAGGGCTTCCTGGAGCTCCGCTGATGTTAGTGGCGAGTCCAGGACTGTAACTTGGCTGTCTGATAATTTAGGAAGTGTTATCCTGTCAAGGAACTCATTGATCTCATTATCTGATGGGTTTATCTGTGGTGAGTACAAAGTTTGGTAAAAGTCTCTGAAGGTGTTGTTTATTCTTTCAGGATCATATACTATATTCCCGGTTGAGTCTTTAACAGCAGATATGGTAGTTTTCTCTTTATTTATTTTTAATTGGCTAGCTAAGAATTTACCTGATTTATTACTATGTTCAAAGTTTTCTATTCGTAGTCTTTGTGCTAAAAATTGTGTCTTTTTGTCAATAATTCCATGAAGTTCTAATTTAGCTTTACGTAATTTGCTCATTGACTCTTCTTCTGTGGACGCCTCTAAAGACTTGATGATTCCTTCTAACTCCTGAATACGTTTGTTTTCTGTTTTTTTCTTATGTGATGAGAAAGAGATTATTTTACCTCTCATCACTGCCTTTCCTGCCTCCCAAAGAATAGATGCTGATGTTCCAGGCAGGTCATTATGTTCTAAATATAAAGGCCACTCCTTTTTAAAAAATTCTATAAAACCTTCGTCTTTAAGCAGTGATGTATTAAACCTCCAGTTTTTGCTTGGTGGGATTGTCTTTTTATTTACCAGAGTTAAAGAAACCGGAGCATGGTCGCTGACAGCTATGGGGTGTATCTCAGTGTCTGAAATGTCAGCCAACAATGAGCTGCTGACTAGAAAATAATCCAAACGTGAATGAGAGTGATGGACGTGCGAAAAAAAAGTATATTCTCTACGGTTAGGATGAAGAGATCGCCATGCATCACAAAGCCCATAATCACTCATGTACTGTTTAACTATGTTAGTGGATTGCCAATTGCGCTGAGTCCCAGCTGTACTGAGCCAGTCTGTTAAGGAATTCATCCAAAAATTAAAATCACCTCCAAGTATAAGTGGACAGTCCAAGTGTTCGGAGAGTACAGAGAAAAAATTATGAAAGAATGGAGGGTCATCAATATTTGGACAGTATATGCTGACGATACATAAGCGCTGGTTCTGTATAGATATTTTTAACATTATAAATCTACCCTCTGGATCAGAAACTGTGTCCAATACTGTGAAATTTATGTTTTTGTGTATTAAAATAGCTACACCTCTTTGCCTAGAGTTATAGCAGGCAGAGAACATGCTGGGAAACTCAGGTGTTTTAAGTTCATCTGCAGATGTGGCAGATCTATGAGTCTCTTGTAACAATATTACGTCTGCTTGCACTCTCTTTAACTGATCAAAAATTTTTAATCTCTTCTCTCTAGAGCCAGCCCCATGTACGTTCCATGAGACAAACCTTAGTGCACCCATAGATGTGTGTGTGAGTAGCTATAATATGACGCCTTCATGTGTATGAGATAAGATAAGTAATTAAACGCATACATTAATCTTATAGTAAATAATAATAATAAGGGTGTTGTTATAATCATTATTATCATTTGCAACATTAAATATAATAATAGTAGTAAAAAAACAATAATAAAAAAAACAACTTTAATATAAAAATATTAATGCTGATGATGATAACGTACAATATATAATAAAAAAAACAATAGTAGTAGTAATAATAATAATAATAATAATAACAACAACAACAACAACAACAACAAGACAAGCCCAACAGTGTTTTGATTGTGCAATGAAACGCCATAGGCTACTTATCTGTGTGACTGCGTATGGAATATGTGTGTGTGTGTGTGTGTGTGTGTGTGTGTGTGTGTGTGTGTGTGTGTGTGTGTGTGTGTGTGTGTGTGTGTGTGTGTGTGTGTGTGAGACTGCGTATGGAGTCTGTGTGTGTGTGTGTGTATGTGTGTATATGTGTGTGTGTGTGTGTGTGTGTGTGTGGGGTGTGTGTGTGTGTGTGTGTGCCCGCGCAAGTTGTGTGCTGCAGTGTGCAAAGGGAAAAAAAAAATGTGCCATGCAGATGTAAAAGTCCAGAAGCAGATTAAAAAAAGGGAAAGAAAGGAATGATAAAGGTTTAAAAGAGAAAAAAAGAAGAAAGAAAAGAAAAAGTGTTGTGGGTGTGAGGTGGTGAGGGAATAGGTGAACATTTCTAAACGGATCTAGCAGCTATTAATCCTGACATGTTCAAGTGCTTTTAATAATAATAAATTTGTACCTGAAGTGTGTCTAATAAAGCCAGTCTGTTACTCCTCGTTCTTTGTAGATCTTACCGTCAACAAACAGTTTATCCACGGAGATCACAGCCCGCTTCCCATCTTGGATAAACTTCTTGCGCAGCGGGAAGAGAATTCTGCGGCGATCCAGAATTTCTTTAGGAAACTGATCGTTTACGCTGTAATCTTTACCTTTAAGCTCTCTCCCGCGGCTTTTAACAAGATCTTTCTGCTTAAAGTGCTCAAATTTAGCCACGATGGGACGAGGTCTTCTGCTGTCTGTTCTCCTGGCTCCAAGGCGATGTACCCGATGAAAGGTGATGTTCCTCACCGTTTCCTCCGGCACCTTCATGTGAGTGTGGAGAAAGTTCTTGATGGTTTGTTCACAATCCTCCGCTTCTCCTCCGGTCTGCTCTGGGAGGCCTGCGAACACCAGGTTATCTCTCATGCTGCGTGATTGGAGATCCAGAACCGTCTCCTTTAGAGCTTTATTGTCCTGGGAGATCCGATCTAATCCTGCTCATACTCCTGATGCTATTGTAAACTGGAACAACTTGTTTTATGACCTCGACTGGGAAAAGATTTGGACTCTACCATCTAAGTTTCTATTGACAAACAAAGTAAAAGAGGTTTCTTTCAAGATTATCCGTCGTTTCTATCCTACAAAATCTTTTCTGAAGAGATACAAAAAGGATATTGATGTGAGCTGTTCATTTTGTAACCTCCAAGTCGAAGATGTTCTACATATGTTCTGGTCTTGTCTGTTCTTTAGTAAGTTCTGGCAAGGGTTTAATATTTTTGTAATAACATATTTTATTGAAGACTTTTTGCTTTCTTTGGAAATTTTGATATTTGGTGTCTATAACTACCCGATGAATGAATCAGACAAATTGTATTTAACCAATTTCTGAATATTGTTGGCTAAATTTCATATTCATAAGACAAAATTTTCTAATGCAAAACCTTGTTTTAAGCAGTTTCTCTGTGAAAGGAAACAGTATCTATTATCCATTCAACATTCCCACAAGGCAAAAGCAACCAAACAGTGAATATATGCTCCTCTTTTTGGCTTATGTAAATCTTATCTCAGCTGGCTGTTTGTGTTAGGAACCCTGATACCGTGTGTTGTTGTATGCATGTTCTTTTTGGTATTGTTTGTAACTATTGTAACGTTCTAACTGCAAATAAAGATTTGTTTAAAAAAAAAGGCGACGCAAGAAGACATCCAGGAACTGGATGCCAGTTACATTCTAGGATTGGAACAGTTCTACGTTGATGGCGTCTAACACGGACGCAGTACACAAGTTCAGAGCAGTGTTGTTTTTAGCAGCCATCTTAGTTGTAGTCCTAATCTGAAATACATTTTAGTTTTAGTCGACAAAGATTTTAGTTTTTAGTTTTACAAAGAACTAATTGGCGTTTTAGTCAAATGAATTTATAGATCACACGTGTCCTCTGAGCTACTGGGGTGAGTTTTATACCAACATCACTTCTTTTAGGACTACAGGAGACCGACTCAAACTCAGCTGCCCCAGATTTAGAACAGTAAAACAATTACTTATTGATGACCACTGTTGTATAGGATGAATTTACTGATGAAGATCTGTGCATCATTTTGTAGATTTTCACAAAAGAATATGGTGCATTTCTTTCCTCAGCAGAATAACTCTAGCCTAGTGAACTAGACCAAAGTCTTGCTTTGCAAAGTTTGAATTAAATAATTAAATAATACATTTATTTAGTCTGGCTTGCCAGGCTAGAATAACTCGGGAACATGCAGATTGTGCTGTCCTCGCCCTGTGACGCTTAGTTTCACCTTGCTAGACAGCGAGATAACGATGCTCCAATAACCAGACTTGTTCTCCTTTTTTGTGCTGATTTATTGAAGAATGGCCTCTGACCATTGCCTTCTCTTTGACCATCGTAAAACTGAAAGTACAAAATACTGTATTAGCTAACTAACATTGTAAACTAGCTTGTTACCCGCTTGCTGCAAGCTAACAAGATAAAACTTTCAAATGTACAAATTATCGTACCATTTTTACATAAAACAAAAGATAATGATCATTTTATCGACACTCATACTTACAGACATTTCTCATCCAAGGCAGCAACATTTTAAGGTCCGTATCAGCTTAGAACAATAACATTACGACATCACCTTCCACCATCTTTGATTTCTTCTTCAAGTTCTCAATTTTTTTTCCCAAAGTAACCAAACCTATATCACAAAGCAGCCACTAGAGGGAGCTCCAGGGCAGTTTACAACGATAACATCCAGTTTGAGTTATAAAAGGCAGAACACTCCCCGCCTGGTACAATGCAATTGTGCCACTACAACAAACTTTTCTGATAAACATTTAGAACAGTTACGGCTATTTCAAACACTTATTTATCACTTGATAAAAGCAAAACCAAATCAGCGATGGGTCTCAAAAGCAATTTTTCATTTCCATCTTTCCCAGTCTTTACTTCTGCTTTTCGAACCTTGTTGTCCTTGCTCTCAAATGTCTTTACAACTTTTCCCATGGACCAGTCATTTCTGTGAGCGAGAGCATTTTTCAATAACACAACATCCCCAGCTTTTATGTTTGTTTTATCATCAGTCCATTTTCTCCTTTGCTGTAGTGTTGAAAGATATTCACTTTTCCACTGTTTCCAAAAAGAGTCTGCCAAACACTGTACTTGCTTCCATTGCTTTGAGTAGAGGTCTGGTGGTCCAAAGCTTTCTGTTGGTGCAGATAATGCGTTGACTTTTTGTGTAAGGAGCATTGCTGGGGTGAGAAGGTTTGGTTTGTCTGGATCTGTTGAGACTGGTACAAGTGGTCTTGCATTCATTATTGCCATTACTTCTGCCATGAATGTACTTAACACTTCATGCGTCAGTTGGACATGCACAGCTTTCAACAGAATACCATCTAGGATGCGCCTTGCCACTCCAATAAGTCTCTCCCACGATCCACCCATGTGTGATGAGTGTGGAGGATTAAACAACCATGTGCATCCTTTCTCTTGCAGGTATAAGTTTAGTTCTGTGTCCTTGTGATCAGTTTGCAACTCATTGCATGCTCCAACAAAATTTGTACCCCTATCAGATCTGAGTATTTGAGCAGGTCCACGGATGCAGAAAAATCTCCTTAACGAATTGATAAAGCTGGATGTCGACATTGATTCAATGAGCTCAATGTGCACAGCTCTCGTGGACATGCAGGCAAAAAGCACAGCCCAGCGTTTACTGTCTGCACTTCCTCCTCTGGTGCGACGTGTGGTGACCGTCCAGGGTCCAAAGACATCCAGTCCTACACTAGTGAACGGTGGCATTGGTGTCAGCCTGTCAACAGGCAAATCTGCCATCTTTTGGGTCTGAAGTCGTCCTCGAAGCTTTCGACAGAGAACACATTTGTGAATAACAGAAGAGACGAGCCGTTTACTGCCAATAATCCAAAATCCAGCACTTCTGAGCGCTCCTTCCGTTAGGTGACGCCCCTGATGTGCTACCTTCTCATGATAGTATCTAATAAGAAGGATGGCCACATGATGAGCTTTAGGGATAATGAGTGGATGTTTCTCATCTTTTGTTAGGTTAGAAGGTGCCAATCGACCTCCTAGTCTGAGGAGCCCATCTTCATCAATAACTGGATTTAATCTTTGAAGACAGCTTTGCCTTGGAAGTGGCTGATTTTCTTTTATGCATCTGTACTATTCTTTAAACGTTTCACTTTGTACTGTGTGAATGATGAACTTTGCTGCTTTAGACACTTCATCTACAGTGTTAGTTTCCCTGAAACACTTCCAGCCTTTACCTTCTGTGTTTGTTTTCTTGAATGATGCTGCCACACGCTTTAGTGAAGCAATAGTGTGACACAATCTCATCCAATGAGAGAATCTTTCAAAACGGCATGGCTCTAGCTGTGTTACTGAGGCTTTGGTAACAAAACTTGTTATATCAGGTCTGATCTCTGCATCTGTGTTGGGATCAATCAGTGTGAAGCTATCACAGTGAGACTTCTCTGTGTCGTGTTGTGTCAAAAAGGAAGGACCACTGAACCAGTTCGTGGAAACCAATGCAGAAGCTGCAATCGGTCTAGTGGCTGTGTCTGCTGGATTGTCACTAGTGGCTAAGTAAAACCACTGTGACGGATGTGTAGTCTTTCTGATTCTAATCACTCGGTTTGCCACGTAAGTGTAGAACCTCTTTGTGTTGTTGTGTATGTAACCAAGAACGATTTTACTGTCTGTGAAAAATCTGACAGTGTCTACTTCAATGTCAATCTCATCTTTGATGAGTTCGTACATCTCTATGGCTAACACTGCTGCACATAACTCCAATCTGGGAACAGTGTGAGCGGGTCTTGGGGCTACTTTGGACTTGCCCATGATGAACCCTGTGTGCCACTGACCTTCACCATCAAGAGCTCTCAGATATGCCACTGCTCCTATGGCCATGGTGGAGGCATCTGAGAATATGCACAGTTCTTTTTTCTCAGCAACGGCTTGGGAGAACGGTAGGTAGCACCTCGGTATCTGTAGCCGCTCAAGATCCTTCAATGAGCTTCTCCATTTGCTCCATTCCTCTTCTCTTTCTGCAGGAAGCGATTCATCCCAGTCCTTTTGCTCTGAGGTCAATTCACGTAGAAGAGCTTTTCCCTGCATTGTGATGGGTGACACGAAACCCAGCGGGTCATATAGACTGTTGACAGTGGCCAAGACACCTCTCCTGGTGAACGCCTTTTGTTCAGTGGTGACGCGAAAAGTAAAACAGTCATCTTTAAGATTCCACAGTAGCCCCAAGCTCCTTTGCAGGGGTATGTCGTCCAACTCCAAATCCAAGTCTTTCAGATCCTTGGCTCTCTCAGCAGCAGGAAACGCCTCCACTACTTTGTGGTCATTAGAGGCTATTTTGTGTAGCCTCAAGTTTGACTGTGCCAGCATCTTTCGAGCACTTGTGAGTGTCTCAACAGCTTCTTCCACCGTTGCTGTGGATGCGAGACCATCATCAACATAAAAATGTCTCATCACAAACTGCTTTGCATCTTGTCCGTGCTCTTCTTCTCCCTCGACTGCAGCACGCCTCTTACAATAAATAGCTACAGCTGGGGAAGGGCTATTCCCAAAAACATGAACCCTCATTCTATAGTCACAAATACCTTTGTCGGGATCGTTAGCTTCATACCAAAGGAATCTCAGATAATCCCTATGATCCTCTCTCACTTCAAAACAATAAAACATTTGTTGCACATCAGCTGAAAATGCTACAAGCTCTTTCCTAAAACGCATAAGGACACCTAGCAGTGTGTTATTTAGATCGGGTCCACTTAATAAGACTTTGTTAAGGGACTGTCCTTGAAATTCTGCACTTGAGTCAAAGACTACTCTCAGCTGATTAGGTTTTTGTGTGTGGTACACACCGAAGAATGGTAAGTATCAGTGTTCTTTGTTTGAGTCCAAAGGTGGAGCGACTTCTGCGTGATCGTTGTCCAGCATGTTTTGAATGAATTCGATATATTGTCTTTTCATTTCAGGGTTCCGCTCCAGTGTCTTTCTGAGAGATTGGAGGCGCTTGAATGCTTGCTCTCTGTTACTCAAAAGCTTTGATCTTGGAGAGCGGAATGGCAAAGGCGCCACCCAGCTGTTACACTCGTTTTGATACACCTCCTTTTCCATGATGTCAATTAAGTCTTTGTCCTCTACTGTCAGTGCTGGTTTGTCATCATCCTTTGTCCTGACAAAAACAGTTTCTCCCAGTTGATTGGTGTTTGTGTTTCCCTTGTCCTTTTTGGGGTTGGGTGTGGTGTTTAACTGGTCTTTGATTTGAAACGTATTAGGACATGGGCAGAGGTATGAAGCACGACCATTCGGAAGAATATGTGTTTTAAGAACACTCACTTTAGGGGGCTTATGCGTCTTCCCCATGCAGGCTTCCCCGACTATAACCCAGCCTAAATCCAAACGCTGTGCATAAGGTGTATTGTGTGGCCCATTGATTTTCTCTCTGACTTTGTGTACCTGTATAATGTCTCTTCCCAACAGCAACAGAATAGGTACTTGTTCTTCTACAGGAGGCACTTTTTCAGCTATCTTCTGTAAGTGTGGGAACTTCATGGCAACCTGTGGAGAGGGAATCTCTCTCCTGTCATCTGGAATCAGGTCGCATTCAATCAGGTTTGGGAGTGGAAGCTTCACTTTACCATCCATTGACTCAATTATGAAGTTTGTTGCCGTTCTGCCGACATTATCCGACAGTCCTGAGCATGTAAGTTTCTGAGCGTGTCTTAATATTAAAGAGCTCAAAAAACTGAGACTTAGCTAGTGACTTGTTACTTTGTTCATCAAAAACTGCATACATCTTTCTAGCCCGTTCTTTTTCGCCTTCTGGATATACTACCACAGGACTTATTTTTGAGCACGAATGTGGGCTATCTGCATCACCACAGATTTCTGTGCATTTGGAAACAACTGAGGCAATTGCACCATCCTGTGTCTCCCCGCCATCATCTTTATCAGCTTCAGAGCTCTCTGCTGGAGCAGGGGGTGGACCTGGATGTAGTACTGCTAAATGCCTGTCGCTACCACATTCCATGCATTTTATTTGCGCCCTGCAGTCCCTTGCTAGATGTTGAGTAGAACCACAGCATTTAAAACAGATTCTGTTCTCTTTTAAAAAAGACTTGCGCTCATCTATGGGCTTTGCTCTGAAACTCTTGCACTTTTTAAGAGGGTGAGGTTTCTTATGTATTGGGCATACCTTGTCAGGGCTTTCTATTAGCTTGCTGTAACTATTTTGAGGTGAACTAGTGTCTGCGGGAATGTCCGTTTTATGTACACTAATCACTTGCCTGTTGCTGCCTCTGAAGCTTTTCTCCTTCTTGAAGCTTGTGTCGGCAGGAGGTGTGATGACAAAGCTTGGGTCGTTTCTTATTTTGGCTTGTTGTCTTACAAACTTTGAAAAGACACTGAAAGGGGGGAAAGCGACTTGATGTTCTTTGTACTTTGCTCCTGTTGCAATCCATTTTTCCTGCAGTCCATAGGGTAACTTTTCCACCATGGGGTTGACCCCGCGAGCTGTGTCCAAATATGAGAGGCCTGGTAGGTATCCTCCATCTTTTGCACATTCTAATTCCTGCAGAACATCACCCAGCTCTCTTAACTTTGTGTTGTCTCTGTGGTTTAGTTTGGGAAACTGTTCAATCTTTGTTAACAGTGCATTTTCTACCACTTCCGGAGATCCATAACATTCCTCGAGTCTTTGCCATACAAGGTTAAGAGCTGCAGCTGGATTAAAGACATGGACCGATCGGATTCTTTTGGCCTGCTGACCAGACTCAACTCCAAGCCATTTGACCATTAAATCTAGCTCCTCTTGAGCTGTAACATGCAAGTCTTTAACAGCACTTTGAAATGACGCCTTCCACGCCCAGTAGTTTTCTGGGTGGTCATCAAACTGCAAAAGTCCAGTACTTAACATTTCCCTCCTTGTCAGGTACCTCGTGATATCCTGGACACCCTGTATCTCTGTTGATGTTTGAAGAGTGTTGTACGGATAAGGTTTGGGGAAGTCCGGTCTCTCTCTCTCTCTGTTGGGTTTGGAGTTCCACTTTAACATTAGCCTTTTGAGCACTGTGTGAGCCGTCATTGTCTATATCTGCATTCATAGCCATTTCGCATTGTTCTCGTGCGACTCTGTGACAGGTAAGTGGATCTACTTTTAATTCTAATCCTTCAAGGCAAATATCTGAGTGTTTTTGTACATACTCCGCCGTGTGTTGTTTTGGACTAGCGGGTGGTCCCACCAATGGATAGGGCAGTTCACTTTTGGAGAGTCCCTCCTCCTCTTCTTCATAAACTGCAACCTCTGCTTCTGCAACTGCAACAGCCTTTTGACAACTCAAAACATGTAAATTAGCCTCAAGTTCGGTTTTTTGTTTCATTATAGCTGCTTCCCTTTCTGAATAAGCCAGCTGTGCACGTGCAATCTCTGCTTTTGCTCGTGCTTTAAGTGCTGCCGAGCTTGTGGATGACCGCTTGGATGTTCGCGAGCGTCTAGACTCCGTCTGTGTGTCTGTATTGCTTGCATTATCCTTGTTCTCCATATCCTCTGCGTTGTGCACTTGTTCTGTTTCTCTTTGGTCTGATGTTTTTTCCTCTTCTGGAAGACCCAGTTGATATTGCTTTCCTGACCGTAGACTCATAACTGATGCGCTGAAAATAGCTCCTCGTGGTTGCGCCCGCCGCGCTAATGTCTGTTTACTGTGCTGTCCTCGCCCTGTGACTCTTAGTTTCACCTTGCTAGACAGCGAGATAACGATGCTCCAATAACCAGACTTGTTCTCCTTTTTTGTGCTGATTTATTGAAGAATGGCCTCTAACCATTGCCTTCTCTTTGACCATCGTAAAACTGAAAGTACAAAATACTGTATTAGCTAACTAACATTGTAAACTAGCTTGTTACCCGCTTGCTGCAAGCTAACAAGATAAAACTTTCAAATGTACAAATTATCGTACCATTTTTACATAAAACAAAAGATAATGATCATTTTATCGACACTCATACTTACAGACATTTCTCATCCAAGGCAGCAACATTTTAAGGTCCGTATCAGCTTAGAACAATAACATTACGACATCACCTTCCACCATCTTTGATTTCTTCTTCACGTTCTCAAATTTTTTTTCCCAAAGTAACCAAACCTATATTACAAAGCAGCCACTAGAGGGAGTTCCAGGGCAGTTTACAACGATAACATCCAGTTTGAGTTATAAAAGGCAGAACACAGATCATTCTACAGAATAATTACATAGAAATGGCTGAAAGTGTCTTGTTTAATTTATTTATTGTTAGAAATATGAGTTTGTGTCTTTAACTGTATAACCCACCAGCTTAAATGAAATAATGTTTTTCCACAGTTCTGCAGAGCTGTGAGTTTTCACGGAATGAACCCAAGTTGTTCACCTGAGCATCATCAGTGATGCTCCTGCATCCTCACCCAGGCTGTGTGAAGCCACAGCAGCGTTTAGACTGTTCTGTTGTTGGTAAACAAGCAGGAATGTGTCCCATTATCAGGAAGCAGGCAGCAGAACAGATGGTTCTTCTTAAACGTGCTCAGATAAAACCT